GCGCACCGTGCCGCTAGGTGTTCCAAACTCAGAATAATGCCTCTGTCACCAAAGTTACCGACCTAGCTTATGACATGGCTTCTGTTTGTCATTTGTACTGCTCAATTTCACGTTGGCAAGAGCACGATGTCTGTCATAGATTTCTTCGTCTTGCAATTCAAACGCACAACTAATCAAACACTCGAAATTGGGACAAAGTTAATTGAGCAACCAGAATGGCCACTTCCATCACCCTTCCATATCCTGATCACCCACTGAATCAGCAAGCCGAGACGGCCAGTTAATCACCAGAAGGCTGAGGCATCACCAATGGTGCCAGTAAAAATTTGGTATAGTAAACCGATCAGACATCAGAACTAAACCTCCGATTACAGGTGGAAAGACATGAACAATCACCAAAGTGGCTTAAATAGCATAACTTAACGGACGTTGAATGGCATCCATTCAACCAACAGCTTGTCGCCTCCGTAGGTTAGTAATTGGTGTCAGCTTCTGGTCACTATCCACACATCCAGCAACCCGGGCGGTAGGGGTGTTCAAGTCCCCACGTACGCGGTCGCGGAGGCACATCCAGGATAACAAAACACGGGGGTGGGATCCAGTGAGAACTCGTCACGCAGGTGTAATGCTGGGCTGGGGGTAGACCCCTGTATTCTCGATCGTGGCTACGTCTGTGTGCGCTTGCCATTTGACTTCTGACTTGGATGGTCTGCGGCCGTTGGCAGCGGCTGTTCAATTTCAGGGAGGTCAAGGGGCAGGGGAACCGTGCCATGCGTTTCGGCACACGCAGCTTTTCCATAAAATTCTGCCGCAGAATTTGAATTTCACATGAGGGAGATGGAGCCCTAGAGAAAACACCACAATCCTACTTTGTGTGGCCTTTGATCTTAAAACTGTCGAATCAGACAAGTTTTCAAGACAATTTTGACAACAGTAAAACGTATCACCCAAGCACGTATGTGGACCACAGTATGGGCCACGCTTGTGGTTATCGGGACCCGGGCTTAAATTGGGCCCGAGTTTGTTTTAGGGCCCAGGCCAGTGGTTCTGAAGGGCCCCTGTTCGGAAATAGCGCCCGTGACTGGCAGATTCTTCATTGTCTCATTGTGGATCAGTTAATTGTCATTTCTCCTCCCCCATCCCATCTCTGGCGAGAGGACCTCGACCAGCGCAAGTGCTCTTTGACATTCAGGGTCTCGTCCTCTTCCTCTTCAGCAAAATGCGTCTCTGATCGACTGCGAGCCCCTTGCGGACATTGGCCTCCCTGTTAAGCACTCTGTGCCTGATAGAAGCCTTGTTTCAGCGTCCCGATCAAGGCAGGAGGCCTTCAGTAACAATCGCGGACACCGGCATTGTCCCTGCTTCGTAAATGGGTCCCCAGTGTCCAAGCAAACTCAGAGCCAACTGCTCCACAATGGTGGGTTCGGACCTAGATAGGCGCATTCGTCGTCCCGGTGACCTCCGACAGGCGCAACCAGTCCCTCTGTCTAACCTTTGAGGGCCGGTCTTCGCCTCGGTGTTGTCCCCCGACCAGCCCTTCAGGTCCTCCAATCGGATCCTTGATGGTCTGTGCCGTGGGTCCCGAAGGCCACTCAGGGCCTAGCGGGAGGTAAATCCCTGTGCCCCCCTCCCCCCCTCCAGCAGCTGGCTGCGCCCCTGGATGTTACTCCCTGTACGAAACTCATTGCTAGTCGGCGACTCCCTCTCAAAACGCAACTCCAATGTGAATAATGGCATCTGCGTTTGAAAGCATGCGCACGCTGATACCGGTTTGGTTTAAAATATGGTCGTTTTTGCTGTTGGGCTCAATTTCCTAGTTTCTGGTAGAAATTAATCATCATTTACAGTGCTTTAGTGATTTGTTTCACCTATTTGGAGGAGCCTCAACCTATCTAGTTGGTAGCATTCTTCGTGGACATTTTCTCCGTGTGCTTGGTAACATAAGCAGTATTTACGGTGCACGACCTCGTTCGACTGGTGGTGAAAACGCCCATCTTGGTGGCAATAATGCAATCGGTGGCGACATGCACATTTCCGTTGTGATTCATCCAACTTGGTATTACTGTCCATTTTATTTTGTTGTTTTAGTCCTTTTTGGAGATCAGTTAAAAGGGAGCCTCTGAGATTCGCTGGTAGTCCGAAATCGAGTGATGATGAATCTGTCAGATAGGAGTGTGATAACGATATCACCAAGAGTAGCGGTGCAATGAGGAATTAGCGCAAGGTGATTGGTGATGGGAGGGAGGGGGAATCGGCTATAGGTATTGTGAATTGATGAAAGCACTGGGCGGAGTAGAGCACTAAAGGCCCACCTTGGCTATACAACTTACCACGGTACGGTCAGAATAGTCTTTGCAAGAGCTGAGAGCGTGGAG